GTGGTGTGTGTCATTTATTGTACTCCTAGGAAAATTCATGACAGAACAACAACGACCACCACTCAATTTCGCACCCGATATTCCATACCTCCCAGATAATCTCCATCGAACACCCGCAAAAATGGGCGCATTAACCCCATCGCAAGTGCAGACCATCAAATCGACAGTCCCCGTCCTTGCGGAACATGGCAACACCATAACAACAAAGTTCTACCACGACCTACTCTCCGCACACCCCGAACTGAAGAACGTCTTCAATAACACACACCAAGCGACCGGCCACCAAGCACAAGCCCTCGCAGGAGCCCTTTACGCATACGCCGCCAACATCGATGACCTGGGGAAGCTGAGTCCAGCAGTGGAGCTCATATGTCACAAACATGCGAGCTTGTTTGTTCGACCGGACCAATACGATGTCGTCGGGAAGCATCTACTTGAGACGATGCAGACGGTACTGGGTGATGCTGCGACGCCCGAGATTCTGGAGGCGTGGGGTGCGGCGTACTGGCAGTTGGCGAATATCATGATCGGCAAGGAGGACCAGCTGTATCAAGAGACGTCGTATTGGCCTGATTGGAAGGACTTTACCATCACGAAGAAAGAGAAGGAGAGTGAGGAGATTACTTCGTTTTACCTCGAGCCAGTGGATGTGGATCTTAAACTACCGATGTTCAAACCTGGACAGTACATCTCGGTCAACGTTTTCGTGGACAAGCTGGAAGGTGGTGTATGGCAGGCGAGACAGTACAGTTTGAGCGATGCGCCGGGAAAGAAGTATTTGAGAATCAGTGTGAAGAAAGAGCCTGGGATTGAGATTGGGGAACCAAAGCACATGACACATGCGGGCTACATCTCCAACCTGCTACACGACACGAAGGACAAGGGAGACGTAGTGAAGGTGTCGCATCCATTCGGGGAATTCTTCTTCGACACGAAAGAGGTCGATGCAGACGCACCCGTTGTTCTAATCTCAGCAGGCGTCGGACTCACTGCTTTGACCTCCATCTTCAACTCCCTGACAGCGGAGAAATCGGATCGACCGATAACTTGGGTCCAAGGCGCACGCAATTCAAAGACACGTGCCTTCAAGACGCACTTTGACCAATGCGCTGCAGCAAACGAGAACGTGCATGCAGTGTATTACTCGTCGACTCCGGGCGAAGGGGAAGTCCAGGGCCGTGACTACACCATCAAAGGTCGCGTAAATCTGGACAAGATTGACAAGAAGTACCTGCATACCGACAATGGCAAGACACAGTACTACTGTTGTGGACCCACACAATTCATGCTCGACGTTGAGGCAAAGCTGAAGAGCTATGGCGTGCCTAGCGAACGGGTGAAGATGGAGTTATTCGGTACCGGCGGAGTACCGAGGGTCTAGGGCTGTTGGTGGAATAGCGATCGGCTCAGTGATGCGTTCATCGTATTTCTAGTTGTTTAGTATACCAGATTTCGTATTAGTAGATCCAACACCGTTCTGCTCATCCGCGCGCCAGTCGCGCAGCGGACTTCGTCAGTGCAGCGGCGTACAAGCCACTAATTCGGCATGTGGGATGCGTACCACAACGCGCATGCCGTAGGATGCCATTTGCAACGCTCCTACGGACACGTGCAGCGGAACGAGGAGCTTTGATGGTAGATCTTCTTAGATGGCAGCGGGAAGGGAAGGTACTAGGACATTGACCAATTCCGACGTCCTGGTCGTTCACCAGGTCAGGCCAGAGGTCGCACACTTGCGCCAGATGCAGGGCAATGTTCCCATGCCTGGGGCCATGTAAGAACGGTCTTTGAAGAAGCTCGTTTTGGATATATTGTACCCCAGATACTGACGCCACCCGGAAGGCACGCGGCAATCTCTTTGTTTACTTCAATAGAACGTGTAATATCGGATACAACCAGGATCCCATATCTGAATGCAGAACAATTCAGCAGAAACAACTGTCTTCGTAATTTGCCAATTGAACTGGAAGTTGATCGTGATCATAAGGGGCGCATATAGTTCACAACTGCCAGTACAGCAGGGCCGGTAGGATCATACGACAAGGTAGGGCCGAATTTTGAACGTTGTCCGTTATCACCTTCATGCAGGTCGGAGTTGTACGCGCTGCCGCCGACGTCTAATTCGCCCATAGGGGCTAAACAAGGCGTTGCGAGGCCAAAATCTGGGTGGCTGGTAGCCTGGCGGGTAGAAAGCAGGCGCCAACTGAGATGACGGCATGCAGGTTCTGAGCAGAGTCATCTCTCGGGCTCGTGTTCGGAGTCACAACCGGCGAAAGGGGTAATCTTCTGGAAAAGACAGGGTGTGGGCGAGTGAAGCGCACCGTGAGCCTGACCAATGCGAGCGTCTTCTAGAAATTGCGCAGAAGGGCGCTCGGGCAATGTGTGAGCCTTACGCGCAGGGTTGCGACAAGTCATCCTGGCACGCACGCCGGAACGTTGGTCAAAGGAGCTGGGGCCGCAACCGCCGGCTGGGCCAGTGGCATATTCTGCGGCGATGACACAAAGCGCAAGGGATTGTGAGGCGCCCGTGCATTCGGAGACAAGAATAGCTCCCAGGAATCCATGTCGGGTGAGGATGTGAAACAGCTGTGGGCAGAGCTGCCGTAGATGGCACAGTACGCGTTGTGTGCGCGTGATGATGACTCAATAAGAAATAAGATTTAGCTTGTCGGTGTCGATCGTCTATGAACGAGTCTGGGGAGTGCGGTGTAGAGAAATTATGCTTTTGTGATGTGCTGGCCCCGTGCACAACTGTTTTGGAGATGCGCTCGTGTCAGGCACAGAAACGCGACGAGGCTGGGAGTGGGTCCGGCAAATATGGGCATTGGCTTTAGGTGGGACGCGCAGCACAGACGGATCTGGCGGAAGCATACCGACGACCAGGCTGCAAAGAGTTGAAGATATGCGGGACCCCTTCACCGCAACACAGCCAGGAGGTAGCAAATGTCGGTGGGCAGAGCTTGGCTTGGAAAAGGGAGCGAGGGAGGAACCACGTGCCTGACTTGCCTTAATGAGGATGTGCTAGAGACGCGGAAGCGGCAGGCACGCTGTACCTGCCGGGAAGGAGGTTTTGTGATATTGAATTCCCTTTGAAGATGCCGTGCATTGCAAAGGATGCAGAGGCGCCCTGTTGGCAGTTGGACATGGACATCGACGACGTTGGATACGGCCTCGTGGTGGCGGTGTAGACCACGCAGACCTGGCGTTCGCGCCCTGAATGATTGACTCGGCGGCGGTCAGGGGCGTCTCCGGGTGTCTCACAAGTCTCCAACCTCCACAAAATGGACAAGCGTGGCCCAATAGGCGGCGGGACTGCAAAGGCAATACGTTGGTTATTCAGTCGTTATGCTTCTTTTTCGCTGTCTCAAACCCGGCTGGTGCTTTGGCCCCCTGGTGGCTTCTTGTCGCCTGCTGCACGTTCTAAGCAAGTGCTATGCACCGTGCCTTCCCTCCCTTCTAGCGGCCTTCTATGTGCCTTCCAAATCTGGCCCATGCTCCCACATCCCAGCAGCCTCCAGGAACCGCTGAATCGCTGCACCTGGTGTTGCGACCCAATCTGCGCGGTAGTGGAAAGGGGAGGGTGAGGTATCGTGGCGACCGCATGTAACGCCGGAGCCGCAACTCTATGCTGCTTGTCAAGTCACGATGCATCATCAAGCCCAGTCGCGTGGTAAGGTCCAACATGGGCGTTGGAGACTACCGTCGGCTTGTGGATCCTCATCTGTGCACAAAAGCGCCACATACGCCTCAAACAAGGTCGCAGGACTGCCCCAGCTCCTTGACAGCTAGCAGCGGCATGCTAACAGGAAAGGTCCTGGTGAAGCTGTAGTGTCGCGAGCGCGAGATGAACGCAAGGATAGGGCCGCTCCACAGCTGGGTGCGCTGCGATGCATTGATCGAGTGTATTTGAACGTGCCCTGCTCCATGCTGTCAGAAGAATGCTTGCCCGTTCCCTCTACACGCACCACATCTCCAGACTGCTAGGACCAATCACCTAGAGCCTCAGACACAGTCAGCGAGCAGAACTGATTTTGCTGCAGCCACGATTCACCTTTTCTTTTGCCGGCCCTAGGGAGGAACACGATCGACCAGCGCCCCCATCAGTCCACGACAAAGTTACCGACCATACCGACCCTCTTGTTGGGCGGAAGCAATCTAATCAGCACTCCGGCCCAAAGTGTCTTGTACGTCACGTCACCACATTGTCTAGGTGGACAGCCAGGACGCCAGAGAAGCAGAACCGCCGCGCCGCCCCCGCCACTCTTCAGTTTGCTTGCGGTGAGACGCGCAGTTTCGTGTGTCTGCATAGCCGTTCGTCTACATAAACCGCAGTGTCAGTGTGGTGGGCTTCAGACGCTTTGACAGCGACGCTGCCTGCACATCGTGGTCCCTTTTTGTCGACTAGCGCCTAGGACGATCCGCCCAAGGCCGAATCTGCTCTAGCGCCCCTACGACTTTCTGGGCAACTACGCGCAACGAGGAAAGAAGTACCTGCAGACTCTCCAACACCACGCCCTCCATCACCGCCATCCCCTGCCCTGCCCTCTCGCGCGTCTATATCTATCTCAGGTACGTACTCCCGCTTTGCACGATTCCCTTTCGCCCCGTGCAGCCCGCGCATTCCCGCTGCAGGTCCTTCTCACCGCTCCACTCCCCTTTTCTCCTGCTCCGACGTGGCCAGCGTGACTGCCAGACCGACAATTTCTGGCGCGCCCTTCTTTCACCCTTTACCTTGACGCTGCTGCCACGACGCCCGCTCAACCTCGCAACTGACATCGCCATCTTCAGTAGTGCATCCGCTGCATTGACCTACGCGCGGCCCCTCGACGACTCGACCTGACGCTTCACCAACGCCATCTCTGCTGCGTCCTCGCCCGACGCCTGATTTGCATCATCCTTACAGGCTCTCACCCTCACTTGGTGCGCACCGTCCCGTCTCTTGCTCATCGGGCCTGCAGTGCCTTGCCGCTTTCCGTCACGCGCATCCCGCCGACCGGAGAATGGAGTTGGACACGATTCTGAACCAGAGATTAACAGCATCCCTAGGAAACGGAGCGCTCACCATGCAACACGCAATGCAGCCCCAGCACTTCGGTGCGCCCCCGAGCTACCTCAATGGCGGCCACATCAAGTCGGAGAACGGCTCGGAGCGTGGCGTGTCGCCGCACCCGTCAGACTCGTCGCGCTACTCGTCGCAACAACCGCAGCAGCAACTCCCCTCGTATCCCTCGATCCCCCAACAACACATGAACGGCCTGCGCTACCCCTCGCCCTCGCAAATGCAGGCGCCCATGCCCATGCTCAACAACAGTAATTACATTCCCAACCCGCCAGAGCACGCGTACGCGCAGCAGCAGCAGCAGCAGATGGCGGACGCGCAGGTCCAACACCAACACAACGGTGGGCGCCCCGCGTCGGACACGGGTCCACCTAAGGCCTTCGCGTGCTCGACCTGTGGTAAAGGCTTCGCGCGACGCAGTGACCTCGCACGTCATGGTAAGAAGCTTTGGCCCCAACATCAAAAGCAGAGCACTGACAACATGCAGAACGTATCCACAGCGGTATCCGCCCTCACGTGTGCGACTACCCCAACTGCGGCAAGCAGTTCATTCAGCGCTCCGCCCTGACGGTTCACCAACGTGTCCACACTGGCGAGAAGCCTCACATGTGCGAGCGATGTGGAAAGGTACGAAAATTCTGTTCTGCACTGCATTCACAACTAACATCGAAAAGCCTTTCAGTGACTCCAGTTCGCTGGCCCGCCATCGTCGCATCCACTCCGGCAAGCGCCCATACAAGTGCCCTTACGCCGACTGCCAGAAGACTTTTACGCGTCGCACTACCTTGACGCGTCACCAGAACCACCACACCGGCACTGTCGAAGAGGCCGCTGCCGCCACTGCTGCTGCGCTCGCATCGCGTGCCTCGGCCTCGAGCAGGACCGGTCGCTCCGACGGTGGTGACTACTCCGAGACAGCATCGCCGCTCGGCACTCCTTCGCCCAATGACCGCAATCTCTCTCTTTCACCCGCACAGGGAATGCCTCCTGGTGGCATGCCTGGCCTGCACCGCCAGGGCTCCGACTACGCCTACATGGGCGGTATGAACGTCCCTCCTCACATGCGTCATGAGATGCCCCAGCCCAGCCCTCGTGCCTCCCCTGCGCTCACAGCTCAGTCATACACATCCAACGTGAGCGGCTCTCGCCCAGCGATCACCTCTCACCCGACCGCCTACGGCCCACCGCCGATTCTTGAGCCTCCTGCATCTGCAAACCACAACCAGTCCGGAGGCACCACCAGCGCCAACGGCAGCCCTCACATGTCCGCCATGGGCTGGCAATCACCGGGCCAACAGGCTCTCCCCTCCCCTGGCGCCCAAGACAATGGCTACGTTTACCCCGAGCCCCAATACCAGGCACAAAACGGCATGTACTACCAGCAAAACAACATCCGACGTCCCAACAGCACTGAGCCGGACCACTACAATCCCAACCACCGCGAGATGGGCAACGGAATGTGGGCTCCTGCTGTCCAATAGAGTTGCGGCCCTGGCGCAGTTCTCCCACAGATCCTGGAAGATACATCCGACGTAACGCCTGAGCAAGCTCCACCGCGGCGTCACGGTTAATCTTCCCCACTGTAAAACTAATACATGCGATCACGCCAACCTAGGGAAAAACTGAGCAGCCTGGAGCCTACGTTGACTTTGGGTCGCCTCCTTCGCAAGGTTTTGGGTCACTGTAGTCTGCAGACCTGTTCAGTTTTTCCCTGGTATGAGGTGCGATCCTTACTCTGGTGTTCTCGGCAGGCAGGACCTATACCCTGTTCCACAAAATTTTCTTACTGGCATCCCTATGGGCTAGCGGGTCATTGAGCGCGTTAGTTTTCCTGTTTCTTTCGACTTGCCCATATCTGTTTGTTGCAAGTCTTCCCATCTCCGGGTCGTGGTTATCTGGCGGTGGTTTTTCCATGGGTTTTCGTCCATCCCTCTCGAGACGGGATGGCAGGCGTTGGGCGTGCCTCATACACACCAAGACGGGCAAGGGCGTCCGGGCTTGTTCCGTTTTGTCTTGTTTTTCATATGCACCGGTAAACCTCTCTAGACTGGTATTTAATGAAGGACTTATATCCGCCTCTTAGACTACACCACTATTCTGCGCAAGCGGAGCCAAAAATTTAAATCTCTATAATACACTCATTCCACGGTATGCAAGTGAGATGCGTAATATGTGAAAAGCTATGCCATTTCCATTATCGTAGGTACAAAGATGGTGTGCTCCGGTCGTGCATGGCAGGAACGTGAATGAGCTCGGCTGTACCTGAATACCCTGAAGGTGTTCGCAGAACTTTGAATTGACGATAAAGTTCGACAACAATACATGCTTGAGGGTGCATCCCAGTTAAGCGTACAAGTTGCTCGAGACGAGCGCCTTCGTATCCTGTGTGCTGCCCTACAGTCGCCTCATTGGGCTCAGCGCATTGCGAGCATTACCCGTTGCATCCAAGATCTGCCCAGGCGACAAGAGAAGACTCGTCAGCTCATTCGCAATAGTTGCGTGCTGCTCGCACAGTTGTTTCACGACAGAGAAGGATATCCAAGTATCTAGCACGAGTGAATGCCACAATATCAAGACCAATGTCCATGTTGGACCTCAAGTGAAGGTGCTGGTGGTGCCCGGCATTGACGTCGTCGCCGCGCTTTGACCCTCGAATTCGGTCGCTCGGCCCTGTCCTATGCAGGCGGTCATCGCACCAGCCTCGCATTACGTCTATCCACGTCTCTCCTGCATGTCCATTTTACCCCAGCTTGCCACAACCCACGCTGCCATATCTCGCTACTCTCACCATCGCTGGGCAATCAATTCCGACGACAAACCGCGCTGTTGATTGCTTGCGCCCGTCTACTTAGTGGCACGTCATCCGCCCAGCGCTATACCTCAGCCACTCCTCTGGCGACCCTTCCCTCCCGACAGCTCCGACCCAACGACACCGCACACCGAGAGACGCAAATTACGTCGCGACCATGAGTAAAATCGCGAGATCGGTCAAGAACGTGACCAAGGGGTACAGCCAGGTCGAGGTCAAGGTCCGCAATGGTATGGAGTGCCCCAGGAGCTGCATGCACGGCGTAGCTGACCATCGCAGCGACCAGCAACGACCCATGGGGCCCCGTCGGGTCTGACATGGCTGAGATCGCCCAAATCACCTTCAATAGGTACGACGAGTGCGAAGGCTACGCGAGCCATGCTGACCGCTACCCAGCTCGACCGACTTCTATCAGGTCATGGACATGCTCGACAAGCGCCTGAACGACCGCGGCAAGAACTGGCGTCACGTCCTCAAGTCGCTGAAGGTGCTCGACTACTGTCTGCACGAGGGCTCCGAGCTCGTCGTGACATGGGCGCGCAAGAACATCTACATCATCAAGACACTGCGCGAGTTTCAGCACACCGACGAGGACGGTCGCGACGTCGGCCAGAACGGTAAGCGCGTCCTGCTTTGCGAATTCGTGCCTTACTAAGACAATCGCAGTGCGAATGGCAGCTAAAGAGCTGACTTCGCTCATCCTCGACGAAGAGCGCCTGCGCGCCGAGCGAGCCGACAGGAAATCATGGAAGTCGCGGGTCACAGGCATCGAAGAGTACCCCGGTGGAGGCCACCACGGTCCAGATGGCGGGGAGAGAGCCACGCGCCCGCGAAACGGCGAACAGCGCCGCAACCGCAGAACGGAAGAGGAAGATCTCGAGCTGAGGCTCGCGCTCGAGGCAAGCAAGAACGAGGCAGAGGAGGAGAAGAAGCGCCGCGAACGTGGGGCCAGAGTCGAAGACACCGACGATGACTTGGAAAAGGCCATCAAGCTGAGCAAGGAGGAGGAGGAGCTGCGCCGGAAGGAACTCGAGCAGACCAACGCCGACCTACTTTTCGGCGAAACCACCGCACAGCCGAATGCCTACCAGCCCACGGGCAACAACCAGGGGTACCAGCAGCAGGGCCAAGTGGACTGGTTCGGTAACCTCATGGACCAGAACCAGCAGCAGCCTCAGAACACTGGCTTCCTCAACAACGCATACTCACAGCCCACGGGCATGCAGCCTCAGCAAACTGGCTTCCAGAATGGGTTCGGCGGCTACGGTGGCTTCCAACAGCAGCCCCAAATGCCACAACCTACCGGCTTTGATCAGTTCGGCGCTCAGCAGCAACAGCAGCAATATATGCAGCCCCAACACACGATCCAACCTCAGCAAACCTCGTTCAACAACAACCCGTATGGTCAATTTGGAGGTGGAGGCTTTGGTGACATGGGTCAGCAGCAACAGCAACAACCGCAGCAAGATCAGAATGCACTCCAGCCTGGCAGTCATAACCCGTGGGCAAGCAACCAGACTCAAGAGTCGCTCAAGCCGCAGCCCACTGGCTCCAACAACCCATTCGCTCAGTCCTTCAACCGACCGCAGCCCACTCAGACCTTCACGCAACCGACGTTGAACTCGTTGAGCGAGCAGAAGACCCAGACCCAGTTCAACAACACCTCGTTCAACCCTCCAGTATCCTTCTCTCCTGCACCGGCAGCGCAACCACAGCAGCAGCAGCAGCCACAGGCGCCACAAAAAGAGATGGACCCGACCGCTGCCAGACTCAACGCGCTTCTTGCAACAGGCGAAGGTCAGGACACTTTCGGCAACGTTGGAAACATGCGTATCCCAGCTCAGCACACAGCTCCTGGAACATTCGTCAACTCGGCTGGCGCGGGCTTGAACCGGGTCAACGCCAACGCTACCGGTAACAACCCGTTCTTGAACTCCCAGTTCACCGGCATGCCGCAGCAAAACCGCATGATGCCCGCGGCAACTGGCCCAGCGAGCAACTTTGGCGCCAACCCTTACGGCAGCGCAAATCCGTTCGGTGCTCAGCCTCAGCAGCAGCAGCAACCCCGTCAGCCTGGTGCCAACAACCTAATAGACTTATAGTGTGCTGGTCCAGAGGGTAAAGCTTGCGCTTCGGGTCATTCTGCGATGCTGAAGCGTGGCACTCAGGTCTGCCCCAGATCCCCTCTCCCTCAGAGGCCCAAACCCGCATTCACGTATGGCAAGGCAGAGAGGAGCTTGGACGAGGCCGGTGGGGACGCGTGGTCATTTTGATTCCCTTATTATTATTTCCCCCGACCACTGCGGTTTGCATAGAGGCGAGCGACGAGCGCAACGAGTCAGTGGTGGCTAGTGTAGATAGCTTGATGAGACTATTCAACCCATGATAGTGCAGCTCGTCTGTGGTGCCGCGCAAATGTCTAGATTGAGACTGGAATCATTAATCCTTATTCTCTTTTCACGCTCCTCTCCGTGAAGTGAAAACTTGAAAGCTATCGGGTACCAGCATGAGACTGCGACGGCCTTTTCCTATTGTCCATTTACGCCCTCTCACCGTGAATCGGGAAGCTACCTAGGTATTGTAAAATAGGCGCACGTGACGCAATCTTCATGCGCACTGACGTTTGCTAGGCCCACAGCCGTTCTACACGCTATCCAACCCCGCAATCATCCACCTCCGCGTCGAGTCCACCTGCACCTTGCCGTGTCGCGAACTTCCTTGCCGGCTATTGTTTGCGCCGCTTTGGCTTCTTGCCATTGTATTCATTTTTAACGCTTCTCTTAGCCCAGCTGTTATCGAATGCCGCGCACCTGTTAGCATTGTCTAGACCTCACGCTTGGCCAGCAGACTTCACGCTACCGTACTTGGCGACTTCGACGCGTCACGGCCAGCCAGCCATCGTTTGATATACAGACAAAACAAATACGAATACTAGTATCACCATCTTTAGGACATATCGTTCTACCCAAGGGCCTACATGGCTTCAGAAGACGAGGCAATGCACCGACAAACACGCCCGGTGTCCGCCATGAGTAGCCGAAAGCGTGCCATTCAAGAGGAGGAAGTGGAAGCGCATGCGCCAGAGCCGAAGAAGCTTCGTACCCGTGGCCCAGTTGAAGACGATGTAGTCGGCAGCAATCCTCAAGCTGCTGTGGCATCAGCCTCGCGAGGCCGCAGCGGTCTTCTCACGCCAGAACCCAGCACCTTGACCGAATCGCAACTCGAGCCTCCTGTCGACACCTCAGCGACGTCCGAGACTGCAACGGCAAACTTCTTCCCCTTCATGAAGCTTCCCGCCGAACTGCGCATCCACATCTACCACATGGCGCTCGTGCGTGAAGAGCCGCTTCTTCTGCATGCCGACCGCGCGCCTGAGAAACCCGAAGACGGCGACGACCTTCTCGCAGCACCGCGTCGAAACAACCTCTACGCCCCCTACATGCCCCGTCACGAACTGCCCGGCCCCGGCTACGCCTTCCATCGACCCAGACAGGGTCCCGAGCGCATCCCGCTAGACGACCCCATCGTCCCCGAGATCCTGCGGCTGAACAAGTTGATATACCGAGAGGCGCGTCAAGTCCTGTACAGCGACAACGTCTTCACCCTCAGCCTCACAAGCGGCATCCACACCCTATCTACCCTCCACCAGCGCTCGCGCAGCCTCATCAAACACGTCGTCCTCACCATACCCTCCCACCACGATATCCTCGACGGCTTCGCCGACCTCGTCCGCCTGGGTCTGCGCTACTGCTGGGGTCTCAAGACCTTCAAAATCATCCTCCAAGCCAGCCTACCCGATGACGGACGGGTGACCGGCGCGACAAGCGTATACGCCAACGCATTCCACATACTTCGATGGCTGCCACGCGGTTGCAACGTCGGTCTCGAAGGCAACGTGAGCGATACCGTCAAGCGCGTCGTCGCCGAAGAAGGCAGATTACAGGCTGTACTTGATGAGGTGAGAGCATTCTGAAACAACGTGATGATGTGAGGATGTTGGGAGCTGACAGTGTTGCAGGCGAGTTATCTCAAGAGACAGCATCAGATGCCGGAGAGGCATTAGTGGTGTCGATATGGTGGCTCTGTGTTGTGTTTTTTTTGAAGAGCGTGATCTGAGATGGTTCTTGGGTGTAACGCTGTTGATGATATGATGGGAACTTGCCTTTTTTGCTGGCTTTGAGCCTTCGCGCAACGGCATGTTGTCGCGTCTTGCGTCGTTGCCAGCGAAGAGATTTTACGCTGAGTTGCAGTGTTGATGATAAGATGGAAAGTGGCTTTTACGAGCTGGACTGGAGACTCGTGTTGTCTCGTCTTGCGCAGTTATGAGCAGAAGCGTACACCTTGAGTAAAGCTTCTCTATCACACTGCAGCTCCATCTTGCGTGAATCAAACGCGCATGCCCTTCGTCGTGGAGACGCGACTGCGCTTTCAGCCTCTTCTTGGCAAGTCACGTAACGCAACCTGTCATTGATTGAAAAATTCGGCAGAGTAATGTGACAGACCGACCCTTGGAAATCTTTAATTTGAAGTTGCTTCTCAGCTTGGGTGGGAGCGATTTTGAGTTCGGAAGTCGCGACCTCGGGAGTGGTTCGTCTGCCTCGTGTTACCACAGCATCATGGGAATAACGCCACATCCAATACTGTAATTTTATCGTAAGTTGTTATGAACAATGCACAGCTCGCCCCTTTCCTTCGAAAAGGCGGCGTGAGATTCCTTGTCTCGCGACTGCTTACGCAGCACCTTAGCTCCTACCACTATTGGCTAGTAGCTTACAATGTTGACACGCCACAGGTACAGTACCATCTCAGCTCAACATTCGAGCGTGCTAGCTAGCGAAGTACCTGGTAATCCTCTCGTCATCGCACGCCTGAGATCGCATGCGCTGCTGGACCGAGGTTTGTTTGCGTTTGTCGGCAGAAAGTTGTGGCGGTGACGCGTCAAATGCGCCAACGAGACGTTACAAAGCTGTGAGAACCGTCTGGAAAGATAGAATAAAGGATTTTTTCTCCAGAGCGAGGGCCGAAGCGCGCGTCCGAGTTATAACCGCCTCTCGTTTAGGTGCGCGGATGGGAGACACCGCACCGTACCACCAACACTGCTCGGCACACTGGCGTCCAACTTCCGTTGGAAAAGCTCAGCTAAAAAAGAAGCTTCTAAGATGATTCAGCCTCTTCGGAGAGTGATGGTGCAGGCGGTGGAGATAAGGTGGATGTCTCTACCGCCTGCTCCGCCTGCTCTCGTGCATCTTAGCATCCACCTATATACGTCAGATCGGATCGTGGTTCCGCGATGATTCAGCTCTTTGTCAAACGCAAATTCCCATGGCTATCCTGTCCGTTCAGTATGCCCAATGCGGAAACAAGTAATCTTGGGATTGAGTGATTAAGCGGCTCTCGATCCGCATTTGTCGCACAGCATTACCGGCAGCTGTGATTAAGTCCTCGAAATGAATACCCTTTGGATTTGGCATCTCGGATGACCATATCCTAATGCCGTGCGGCGAAGTTAAGACCATGGTTGACGGCAGCATAGTGGTGAAGTGCGTTACTTGCCTCCGCTGCCCATTGGGGCTGTTGCTATTCTTGTTGTGTTTAATCAGCAGTGCCCAGGAAAAGCACGGCAGCGGAAGCCGTCGCCTGGCTCTACCTAGTCAACGTCGATGTAGGGTCTAGGCTAAGCTCTCTTTACGGCTTGGATGTAACCCTGCCGTCTTGCAATTAGGAACTGATCAGCGGCTCAAAAGCAAGCCTTCGCCAACGCTTTCGGGCAATATTGATCCCATCGTTTTGGTTACCGAACACACTAGCTGGCGCCATGAACTCTCCTCCTACCACTTCATCGTCACAACTTCTTTCTACACCTGATGCGCGACCAAAGCGAGCGGCAGTTAGTGAGGAGCCCGGGAAGAAGCCTAAGAAGCCGAACAGCGAGATACGAAAGCAACAGAACAGGATAGCTTCACGTAACTATCGTACGTCAACCCGCAGGTCGTCGCTCATGGTGACCATAACTAATGATACCCGATATAGGAGAGAAGCGTAAACGAAAGCTCCAATACCTCCAGCAGTTGATCAGGGACGACTCAGAGGGCCGTCAGGAGTCAGAACCTTCGCCTGAGCAGCACGAAGTGTACCCGCGCTCTCTGTCCGCAGACTACGACATTACAGGCGCGAGTTCATCACCATACCAGATGCCGTCAAGCCGTGTCTTCGGCGCAAGCAGCGCAGTTGCAAACGAAGCCATCCTGGCAGCTACCGTCGCATCCCTTGATCCTCATCACCTCGCAGTCGACCAGGCGTATCCTTCTTACCCACCTCATTGGAATACGCACATCTACTCTCCGTCTCCACCAGCAAGCATACCTTGGAACATGCCGCCAGCATGGATGTCGAGTTTAGACTACTCTGCACAGGCAGCTACGACCACTCGCCCCTCTATGTACCGATACCACACCCATCCATCACAGCCATCGTTTCAGCACCCGCATACGCCATCACCGTCAAACTTCCAACGCGATTTCCTGCCGAACACAGATGTCTATGGCTATGGCGCAAACTACGCATCACACAGCCAGGCGCCTGGCAACCCCAACGTGAGTCTGCCTACCTCGTACTCGTACTCGCCGTATCACCAGGGCCGGCGGACTGCTCCACATTGAGGTTCGAGATCCTCTTTCCCCGTCTTTGGCCGTATGGCTTGGGTGGAGACAGCAAGTAAGCTGACGTGACCAACAACTAGCAGTACGCGCTTGGGTGCGATCCTTCGGACTTTGGACGGCTAGTTTACATCTGAACTTCTACAACGCATCAGTCTTAGCCCGCGGCCTCTCGCTCAGTGCGAGCAATGCAGACAAAACCGCCCCAAAACGTCTTCCTCCGTCGCAGTCAAGGCGAAGCCTCTTTTCCGGTCAAAGATTACGCGCGTCATCACTGGACCGGCAAACTACCACGCACGGAGAATAGCCACGACGATACAATCGACTTTCAGTTGTCTCCACAGTTCGCATCGAACAAAGTATCTTACCCCATCAGGCTATTGTTCACGCGCGGAAGCCGCGAAACAGCTTACGCCAAGACTACTGCCACGCTGGTAGCACCACATCACGATATCTGAGACACATGGCCACGCGGTCTTGCGTTACTTGCTGGTATAGGTGTGAGATGGATGGAGTGGATGAGATGGAGGGGTATCTTGACTGTACTGAAACATGTTGGGGCAAGTTGGAATGAACCTTGGGAGGTGACGACGATGTGGACGGCCTTCGTTGAAAGGGGAACTGAGATTGGATTGGGAAGATGATTTTAATCTAGAGGCGCGCAATGCTGCGGCTGAGAGGGCTACCGAGCATCTTAGGTATGCGGGAGGCACGTGGTATGGTACATGCCCAGGTGTTTAGGGTGGCCTCGCGTGACGTCAGCTGACCGGCCACGCTTTCGATCGGTACTTGCCTAGGTAGAGCAGGGCATTGGCTTTATACAAAGAAGAGAGCAAATCGCTTGTACAAATTGTATACTAAAGTGTAGCTGTGTGGCCAAAGATCGAAAATGTTGAAGCTAACTTAGGTACCTAGATACTTATGAGGGCTGGAAGCTCGGCTCGCCAATCGCATGCTCTATCCCATTCTGACCTACCTAATCGCGAGCAGCGACGGTCTTCACACAATTTTACCTTTCTACTGCATCGTAACCATCAAAACCCGATGTAGTCAGAAACCGAAGTTATATCTGGCTTGGGCTAGCCATTCGGTACATTCCTTTCCAGCTGTGGTAGGAAATCTTTCCAAGGTTCGGCTAACCCTGCATGTCAGCCTGCAGGGGGTACAATTCGCTGCGTCGCAAGGTCGTGTAACAAGCTTCATCAGCTGAACCAGTTCAGCTTGCTTTCATGTATTTGCGTATAATAGAACTCAATCACAACACTACAATGTAAGACTGTCTAAAGAACCAAGCAATCGCAGAACTCGGTTTTCACTCCCATCAAATCACTCTCTGCTCATGTCTTCCCTGGAAGAAATTATAGATGCGAAGATACGTGAACTAGAGGAGTTTTCGGATGCGGGGTCGCCTTTCTCAGACGCCATCTCAGACGCAATCTCAGATGCGGGGTCGTTCTCATCAGACGAAATCTTAGATGCAGAGGCGTCTTCACGAAGCCGCTCAGAGCTCTTGTGAGGTGCTACAAATGCTTTGAAGATATGTGCTGATCTCCTCTAGGTCTCTGGCCAGGAGGCTGCATCCAGGGAAGAGAGACCTCTTTCGCATCCCTTCCATATTTAATGGGCGGATTCAGTCATCGTGTCAGGGAAGAGAGAAACATTTATCAACAAACAATCGAGAGATCTTGCTCGGGCTTCCAGTGAAGACTACGCGCTTTACGCAATCAGCTGCAAAGAATGTCACCTCCACCAGTATGAGGAGCTATTCGGCCGCCAGATTACAGTCGCCAGGTTGAGTAGAGATTGCCGTTTTTGCGAAATTCTGCGCAAATGTCATCATAATTTTGGGAAGCACCACAAGTCTTTGAGCGTGTACTTCCATGGATCTAGAGCAAATCTGCAGATATGCCTTGGAGGGGGACTCTACGGGGCCGGGTGTAGCAGTGTTCACGTCCAGTTGTACTCACTAGGTCCGTCCCTGATTTCGTTTCAAACGACCGGCTAATCTCAGCAACAGATCCACGTATGCATCAGACACCCTTTCGATATGCAACAGATGTATGCAAAGATCCGGGATCAGAAGCCTCCATTGGTCTCATGAAGAAGTTGTTGAGCCACTGCTACAACAATCACACACATGAGGTGTCAGAAAATTACTGTAAGCCTACGCGCTTGATAAAGCTAGGAAAGAATCAGCACGCCATTGCACAACTGTATTCTACAACGATCTCAGTAAAATACGCCGCACTTTCCTACCGTTGGGGAGCAGGCAAGCAGTCTGAAACGACAAAAAACAACGTGGACGAACGCTCCAAAAAGCTGGTAACGTTAGATTTTCCGAAGACACTCCGAGATGCCATACACGTCACCAGAGGACTCGGTTTGGAGTATATTTGGATCGATCGGATTTGCATTGTCCAGGATGACGCGGACGAATGGGCGAAGGAGGCGTCGCTCATGGCAGACATCTACGCAAACGCCTATGTCGTTCTATCAGCCACAGCCACCGAGGATTGTAATGCCGGGTTTTTGCAGAAACGAGTGGAGCCTCTACGCATACAATATATGCAACACGGTCAAAATGACTTGGAAGTGCGCGCAAGACTAGTCGAAAGCCATTATTGTGATCGAATGGAACAAAAGCACACGTACACGCTGTTCCACCGAGGCTGGTGCATGCAGGAAAGATTTTTGGCCCGTCGAATCATCCACTTTCTGCCACATGAGGTTCTCTTCGAATGCGAGCGCGATAGAGATTGCGAGTGTGGTGCCGCCAGTCGAGAAGCTCAGACGATGCCTAGTTACCAAGGTTACAAGTTCTTTACACGGCTGCGTGGAGCCCTATGGAAACCAGCATCTTTCGCATGGCAATGGTTGGAAATAATAAGAGATTACAGCAAGATGTGTCTTACATATGGAGGCGATTCCCTCCCTGCATTGTCCGGACTGGCTGCCTATATGGAACACTTGAACCCAGGCAAATACATCGCAGGATTATGGCAGCACGATATTGTATTTCAGCTTGGGTGGCGTGTTGATCCGAGGTCCAGCATTCGACGTTGGAAGTATCCTCAGGATGTTGATACTGTAGGCCCGACATTCTCTTGGAGCTCACACGTGCGTAACGTGGAGTTTGATTATCCTCCGATTCTGCCACGCGGTATATGCGCTTTGGAGAGCTTCCAAGTTCGTCTAGCCACACCTAATCCTTACGGCCAGATTCTGCATGCGTCTCTCCGTCTTAGTGGACGGGAAGTGCTTGGGGAATTCCTGTTCTCATGGCTCACGATGTACGGAGGGTGGAGGCTTGACGGGCGTGTGTTCCTCGACGTTGGGATCTACATCAACGACCGCCGTCAGAGAAAACTTCCAGACGATGTGGACTACGAAAGGTGGTGTGACGAGAGGACTTGGAGGTCTGTGCTCTGCTTCGGGCTGGTTGAACAGGAATCTACGATAGAAATGGATGTTGTTGATGCACTTCTACTGCAGTCAAGTAGCATTGGGGCGGGGGAATATGTTCGGATCGGAGTTGTTCAGGGATTATCCAAGGATTGGTTCGATGACAACGCGGTAGCAAGCACGATTACATTAGTCTAGCTAGACAACTGGCATCAAACTCGTCCAATAGGTGCAACGTGCAGAAATAGACGGGGAACCCACACAGCAACTCGATGCTAAGCTCCACCTCCTCCACCTCCTCCTCTCCCACTTCGTCTAGGTGGTCTTCTGCTCGTTCTCGGCCGGTGTGGTAGCTCCTCCCGTGGCGGTAGCGTCTCACCACTAGACCACCTGTTTTGCTCATCCCTCAGATCAATCCAGCGTTCATCCAAACCCTTAGCCACAGCCTTATCCCTGCGTTCTTTACCGGCCACTTTGTCCGTTACACCGTCCTGAACCAACAGCTGCATACCCAACCCCTCGTCGGTACCTTGTTCATACATGCCCAGATTCAATGCACCACCATCCGAATTGTACGAAGCGCGAACGTCGACTACACCAGCACTGTGGCGGACAAGGGAGTGGGAGAGCATGGTATCTGGGTAGATATCCGCGACGCCATGCAATGTAAGACTCTCGACAACGCCTTCGAGACCGGCATACAGTTTCTGTGAGGTAGATGAAGGGATCGAGAGACTGTAGACGGGTGAATCTCCTCGCAAGCGGGTGTAGTCGGTGCGATACGCCGTGCGTGACGGGGTGGTGCGGGGAGTCAGGTAGAGATTCCAGCCGCCACTCACTACTGGAGTCTGGCTCTTGAGCCCATCAACGACGGTGCTGGTGGCTGAGTCTCGCGACAATGTTTTGTTTGTTGGGTTGAACTTCTTTTCCGATAATAAGATGGAGTGGTACGAATGCGAGCCTGAAAGGCGCAAGTCAAACACCTTGATCATGCTGTGTAGAGCTACACCTGCTACGAAGCGTTCTCGCCCTTGTGCGGCAAGAGAGTATACTGCCGAATCGTTTGTTGGATCCCAGAAGATCTGTTCGAAGCCGCGCGGTGAGCGCATGTCATGCAGCCTAACGATGCCATCGTAGCCGCCAGATAGGAAAATGTGGCCTGCTTCCGATGCGCCCGGTGATGTGCTGGGAAATGGAAGTATAGAATAAACCGCCGTGTGATTTGAATGCGCCACGCTCTCGCTGGCTACATTGAAGCGACGCAAAGGCTGGGGTAAAAAGCCTTCGGGCCCAATGTGGTAGACCTCGATAGGTTCGGCGTGGGGACCCCATCCAACGGCGACTGCATCATCGGATATAAACTCGCATGACCATATTTTACGTTGTGGTTTTCCGTCTAATACGGTCTTTGCTGTGGAAGAGGGCTTGATTGCTTGATCCGAGAAGTTGTGACGATCGATGGGGTAAATCGCTAGCGATGTATCCGAAAGTGCGGTAGCTAGCAAGGGCGTGCTCGAAGACGATATCGAAAGATCAGCGATGGCTCGTTTTCTGGATTCGTCAAAGACATTAGAACGGTCAGTATTATAGTTTTGCACCCGCGTCTCTGCAAAATCAGGGCTGGCGCTGAGTAGCGATAGCTGGCCTGATGCAGTCCCAAAGACGATGTCTTCGGAGGCTAAGTCGCGTTGATGCGGACGGAGCAACTTCAAGTTGACGATGTCGTCGCGACCTTCAGAGCTGTCTGGGATCTTATACGTGAACCACGTGGTCAGGTGTTTGAAAGCGTCATACCTCCACGTCTGGTCAGGCGCCTGGTCGAGCCCCTCTTCGCGTTGTCTGATCTTCTCGATGTTCGCACCCGTCTCTTTCGTACGCATAACAATCTGCGTACCTGCAGACCACGCCAATACTTCTTTTCTTTCTCCCCACGATCCATACATCTCTTCATAGCTGTCAATGCTAGGTTGGTACCCCATTGTTTGACCCTGTGGACCCCTCCATCTTTCGGCTTGCCAGGTGTTCATGCTCATCGTCTTCTCTGATAGCTCCAGATACCTCGCGATTAAGCCTCTTCTATCCCAGTTACGACAAAGAGTTGTCACGCCGTGAACGGCATTGCAGGCATCCGCGTCCAGACCGCTCAGGCCAAAGCGGCCTCTGAGCAAAGCTTTCCATCCATCGAGCTTTGCGAACTCGCTCAGCCGGCGGCTTGCCAAAGAGAGGTAAAGTAAATCCCGCGGTCGTTCAAGATGGCTTGTTATCAACGAGAGGATCTCATTCGGCAGCGTGTCGATAGTCGCCATGCTGCAGTCGCGTCCCTTAGCTTTTGCTCAAGGCTACGACGACTAATAATGTAACGTTGATATTAAAAGTGTCAGTATTCAGTAGAACGATCGCAGGGTCGACATGGTGGCGTTTATAGGGCTCATGTTTGCTGGGCGGAAAAGTGAATGCCTAGGTGTCTCATCGGACGATGACGACAGAGTTCTCGCTTGGTGGCGTTTGCACTAGCCACATGTGAGCCGAAACGTCTGAGGAGTCATCGATCATGGCGACAACAAGGCCTTTTTGTGACTCTTCTTCGCATACTGCACGCCTGATCCGGACGATATCTGCTCAGCCCAAAGCGGTTGTGCAATCAGGAGACAATACCGTTTTGTACCTGACATTGAACTGCGCCGCTCGGCATCCACGCCCCAAATTAGCCGGCATCCTTCATCAGGGACCGCCACACTACCCGCTGGCCGCGATTCCCCTGGCATCAAAACGCGCTATCGCACCGTTGAGATCACGGCTGCGACTGATGGCTCGTTCTCGCGACGAGGCCGAGCCGTTGTTGTTGGAATCCCGCACTGTCAGCACGCCCTGTTGATCGCGGTGCAACTCTCGCCAGACAGCCCCATCGCGCCCCAAGCTCGCGGTATCTTCTCGGGTCCAGGGCCATCCCTATAAGCAGGCCGTCCATCCACCCCGCGGACCTGGCGCTGATGACTTCCTTGTTGTGTTCTGTCTTGTGACAATCATCCGCAAGTGCCAACCTTAATCCTGGTTGTTTCTGACTAAATGCGCGGGGTCTCGCGAGCGTTGCCGTCAGTCGCAACAATTCCTGACAGTCAGACACTTGTTCAGCAATCCGGCGCCGCCCAATCGATCCACGACATTTGTTTTGCTGCGACGCGACGCGACGCTATCGCGCCATGGCGGACGATGAGAAAAGGGTGTTCGCCTTAATTAGCGCCATCGGCACGATTCGCGATCAGCTGCGACAGAACATCGACGGCTTGCGACATATCCACAATCGTTGGAGAGATAGCGATGGCTCTTCCATCAACCTCATCGCGCAACTAACAGCATTGAAGTCTAGTCTCGGTAACATCCTGGACTGGCTCAATTATGCTATTAGCGACCTCCATCCACAACTGGTATCCGACTTGGACGTACTAGCGCATTCTTGTGGGCTGCTGGTACGCCATGTAGATGCCCTGAATGCGCGTCTGGACTACCGGGACCATGGTGCTGTCGATGTCGCTTCCAAACTAAAATACAGCGTCGCTAGTAGATCTATGGAGCGATTGCAGCAGGTTGCGCAACGACAGAATGACGCCGTGAACTTGTTACTTGCGGCATGCCAATGGTGAGCTGCTAACCCACCCCTACGCACAACTGATTCTAATGCCCCCCAGTACTGCACAAGCGCAACGAAAGATCCTGCTTCATAAGAGCCGCCAGATCAGGAAGGAAGATGCGGCAAATCTGAGGACCCTCACCCAATCCTCGAAATTAAACGGCGCTTGCATTACAAGCCTTGCGCAATTATCGCGATTCATCCAATGGCTCAGACTATTGTTCCACATGAAGATTGTGCGGAACGATTTCGATGGAACGATCACACCATCGGACGAAGAGTACGAGCATATGGCAGCAATCAACCGGTCCGAAGCAATAGATCGCGCTTTGGAGAGAGAAGCTACTAACCTTCGGCACGAGACTAAGCTGGTCCTTGTAGGCAATCCACAGGGTGGCAAAGAGCTGATAATGCATCAGCTGAAAGTGCAGTTCGCCGAAGGTTATGATAAGACGGAAGAACGATTGAAGTACCGCCCCGCAGTTTACCAAGTTGTAAGATCGCTCATATCGTCGATCACGAACTTACTCACAGAAACTGGCGTTACGCTCTCTGCCGAACTGACCCACGACTTCGCCATCTTGTTGCACGAGCTAGACGCCAGAGAGGACGGCATATCGTCTGACGCCGTCAAGGCAATCACCAGAATCTGGTCCTGTCCCGAATTCTCCAAACTATACGTCCGGAACTTCGAGATCGAATTCCCGCAGTACGCGCCATACTTCGTGCAAGAAGCACCACGCATAGCCGAGGAAGATTATGTCCCTAGCGAGGCCGACATCATTCGCCTAACCCGATCTGGTGGTGGCATCAACGAAACACGCTTCAACTGGGACGAGCTAGATATCCACCTCTTCAACATCAAAGGCTACGTCCCTCAACACTTCAAGGAGCGCTGGTACCATCAACTCGAAGACGCGACTGCCGTCATCTTCACTGTCGACGTATCCCTCTACAACAAGCCCAGCCCCGAACGGCCCTCCGAATCCATCCTAGTCCACGAATTCGAAGGCTTCGAACAATGGGTAAATCGTCCCGGTTTCGCCAAATCTACCATCATCCTCATCCTGAACAACTTTACCCGCTTCGTGAGCAAAATGGCTTATGCACCCCTGGAAAAGCTCTTCCCCGATTACGTCCGCAACGAATCCGATCCGGAATTGAGTGCACGCCAATACATTCTCCGGCGTTTCAAGAACATGAATCATCAGTGTCTCTCCATCTTTTCCTTCTGGGTCGATTTGGATTCAAGCGACAATCAGCACTTGTACGGTGCGCTTAAGAAGACGCTGAGCCAGGTTCAGGCGAGGAAGGCGCAGGAACAGGCTTGGTCTGAAGGGCTTTCGGCTACGACAGAGTCGGATAGGCCGTCTACGAATGGGCTGTCGGTTGCGCTGAGTCCGACAAGGAGTCGAAGTCGAAGTCGGGGGAAGAAGAAGTAGGAGAAGGATCGAGCGAGGGTTGTCAGATTGATGCAGTGTGGCTGGGTAAATGGACTGGTTGGATATGTCGTTGAGGAGGCGCGTTGGAATATATGGGACTAGGGTAATGGCTTGATATTTGCCGTTCGGAGTTGGCGTTTCTGGGTTCGAAGATACCATGGTACAGGTTGTTTACATATAGAGAGCTCCGTCTCATAATCATCACCGACATCTCCTTTGTATTTCAACGAGAGGTTGAATGGCAGATAGTTAGTCAATAATCCTGAACTGTTGTCCCCGAAGATAATACTGTTGAGTTGTGGTATGAAGGACGCCTGGTCTGATTTCGCGCTGGTCCTTGGCGTCTGGTGGTCTCCTTGGTGTAGAGTCTAAAGTTACTTGCGCTGCTCCCTATTAATACAGCAGCGTGGCAATGTAGCATCCCTCAGCCTCATGCGATCACCTAGTCACTGCTCCGTCTCCTTGTAGGTCTGCACGCTGCTGCTATATGTACTATTTGGGCAATTGCGGCTGTGCTTCGTTGATTGGCTGCTTCTCTCCTGTTTGGCACTAGTCAATATCCACTCTATTTCCGGAATGCGCATCTCCTTCCCCCTGCATCGTCACCTCCAACATCTGTCGTGCTCCCATCTACCATCGACTTTACTTGGATAGGCCTGCTCTATGATGTGGGTAAAGAGAATAAGGCGTCCAGTTCGGCGTTCATTCACGCCCATGCCCTACCACCAATGATCGAGATGATCTCGCAGCTTGTTACCGGTTTCCGATACGGTGTGGGGGCCAGCCTTGTGATGCGGCAGGGCTGTTAGGTGTTACTCTGTGGCTTCGGGCGGGACAGCGCGACACCGCTGATAGGGTCCGCTCCGCCTGACAAGGCTTGCTTGTGTTAGTAGGCTGCATATGAGAGGTCGCCGTCCCTCTGGTGGCTGCAGGCGGGCCACCGGTCAGCCATGTCGGAAGATTGGTGGCCGCCCCGCAACCTTCAAGTCGCCGACGTCTCAACTACTATGCGCTCGACTTCGAGTTCATAGTTCCCGTGTTCCCAAGCTCTTTCTCTTGAAACGTTCGTTCTTACGCTCCGTTCGACTTCCCATCAACATCAAGCATGGTGGTATCCAGCATAGCCATTGTTACCGACCTTGCGCAATGGAGCAGTTCAGGTCCATCCGGCGATCCTCCTCCTCTGACAACCAGATATGATCCTAGCCCGGGATGCGCGACCCAATGGGTACACAATCCTGTCAACACCACCAACATCCGAAGCGGAGACAATAACCTTGTCTGGCAATCCACAAACGGAAACCCGGGTGGTCGGACGGGTATCGCAAGCCTTCTATCAGCGAACTACTGGAAGTCTTGCCGCCCTTTCCTCCAGCCGATAGATCAGCCTTATTACAGCCCGGGGATATGTACAAGACAACAAACGATAGCTGGTATCGAGGAGCAGCGCTTTGGCAGCTCGCGAAGGTGGAGAGGATGGTGTTGCGACAGGTTGTTTGCCCACGGCTGAATCCGAACCTCTAAACCCGGGCTTACGTATCCACCAGGGGAATGTCCATGACAGTTCTTGGACAGGACTGCGAAGGCGAATTTTCGACTCCTAGGACTGCGCTCACAAATTTCACGACGACAATTATTGACCAGTGGGATAGGACTCAAATCGTCTCTGGCATTGACACAGCAACGAGGTTTTGTACAAGATCTGGGGGTTCCCAGACTTGCGCAGATCAGACGACGCTGCAGAGGCCGACTGTGTTGTCTTCTGGTATGGCTTTTGCTACTCCCTTCGGGGTGTATTGGGAGGAAAGAGATTTGTCGAACTTTCCTACCGATTATGCTTCGTCACTCGCATCCCTGGTTGACACTACATTTGGAGGCAACAATACGACTGCAGATTCATCTCCGGACTTAAAAGATGATGGCTTAAGTCCTGGCGCTATAACTGGCATAGCCGTCGGGATAGGCCTATTCGTTATTATCGGTGTCGTCAGCCTCTTGTTCTTGAGGCGAAGGAAAAAGCAGCAGAGAAAACGTCTTCAGCAGCCGAACGAGGCGGAGATGGATGGGAGCTCACAGGGGTTCATGCACCCTGCGGACACGAAATGGAGGGCTGAGGCGGATGGAAGGTCGGTGCCCGTCGAAGCTGGCACGGGAGGTGTGGTGCCGCGGTCGCCGGTGGAGCTGGATAGCACGCAGCGGGAGAGAGACCGCTGAGGATACGGAAAAGAGAAGGACACTATAACGAATTTGTCGCGCTAACGAAGATCGCAATCGAGCGATGGCCGTCGTTTTCTTGGCTCACTGTTGCTTGTGTGCCTGTCTTGCATGCGACAAGGCTGCAGGTACTCTGTCATAGTATTGAGTGTGTGTGGTACACATGCCGCTGTAGCCGCTGCGTGAAATGCACATATCGGCGCCGAAGGACTACGCCGCATTATGCGGCGTAGCAACTCTACCAATCAACCTCACAATTCGATGCCCGTCACCTCTCCACATCTGGATCAAAGCTCTGTGCCGCTGGCAGAGCTCTTTAAGATCCGTTCTTCCCTGCTATTAACGTCAACTTATTCTACCTTCGAGATACCGTCGATATGGCAACTGTTTCAACCATACCAAAGTCTGATTGGAGATACCAAACTGCTCCAACGAATTTGCCCCCACTATTGACCGTCTTTACGCCCCCAGGAGAATGTTCAACGCGCTGGATCTACGACGACACCAGTTCATCTGCAATCTACAGCGGAAGAGCTGTCTTCCAATACTATACCGATGCTGTTGCCGAATCCTATTACTATGAATGCAATCCGTATCGGCAGGAGCAGACGACGCCGCTGTATAGCCCAGGAGTTTGTGGGGATAGTCAACGACCCGCTGAGATAGATGAGATTCGCTTGGACTATGTCTATTGGTTAGCATACTGTTGTCCCAGGTACGTTACCTATGCTCTCAAAGGGTCTATAACTCTCACCCCGCGGGCACGCGCTTACATGAATGCAAATTAGCGATATGTCTTATCGTTTTGTGGAACGCGAAGGCTGGTTCTGCGAGAAAACCTTTTCGGGGACGACAACTGTACTTAGCCGATTCACCACCACTACAACCAACGACGTTGCGGTTGGGGGAACATCCGTCGTCACGCTGATCGACACCACTGTGCAGGTCTGCAGCTCTAGCCCATGCTCTACTATTACTTTCAACAGTAAGACGGTGTTGACAACCGGTACGGCTCGAGCGAAACCAACCGTCGTCTTCTGGCAGTCTAGCGACCTCGCCCTGTTCCCGAGGGACTATGCATCTTCTATTGCAGCGGTGATTGGTGTTTCATTCGACGGCTCCGCAGCGTCCTCTTCACTACCATCCATCACCTCGCAAGATGCAGACTCCGGACCATCGACTTCGTCTCCGCCCATCACATCACAAAATACGAACCCCGGCTCAAGTCCAGGTGCCAAAGCTGGTATTGGAGTTGGGGTGGGTATCTTCGTTGTACTAGGCGTCGTGTTCTTCTTATTCCTATGGCGAAGGCGGAAACAGCAACGACAACGGAAGCAAGATGCACAGCAAGCAGAGCAGGAGCCTTCGGGCGAGATCGGGGTATCGGAGATGGATGGTGATGCGAACGGATCGAAACGCTTCTTGAGTGGCCATTGGAGGGCTGAGACGGAAGCACCGTCGGCTCCAGTTGAGGCTGGGTCGACGAGTGTGCATATCATACCCGGACCACCTGTAGAACTAGACGCTACACATACGAGAGGAGGAGAATGATGGCTACGCAAACTCATGTGGAGTATTATATAGAAAGGAAATGTTTGTATGAGAAAGAGATGGAACCAAGACAGAACGTAGGCATTGGAAAGCCTCCACCTATGACCCGTCACTAGAGTATCCTTCGTCGAGCGCGTTCTCATCTTCGCTTGTGTCGTAAGTCTCTTCTTCCACCGTGGAGTGGCCATCGTCGTCGCCGCTTGCACCATCGCTTGCTACGTAACTTTCATCGTCGGAGCCACTTGCATAGCGCTGCCAATCACTTTCACTTTCACTTTCGTCAGAAACGTCTCGTTCAGAGTCTTCGATACGAATGCTCAATCGATCCAATTGTTGAGACAACGAACTGGGAGAGCAGGCCCGTCTTGGTACAGTAGTCTCCCTCGCTAAATGCGGAATGATCTTTGCACGAGGAGGCTTTCGTGACGTAGAGGGTATGTCAGGTATTCTCTCATTGGGTGGCTCGAGAGACTTCGCCCTTCTTCGTTGCTCGACCTGATGGCCGTCTGGGTCGAGCAATGTCAAGGGTTTCGGATGCAAGCGGACTTGAGTGATCCATCTGCATATATCAGGTTTCACCCGGTTGTGCACCCATTTGCGCATGTTCTCGATCACAGCACGTAGCGCAAAGACACCCCAAGTAAGCTCCAATGAAGTTGCCCAAATGCAGCGCATCTCGATGTTGTTGCTGGTCTGGCGCATGTTAGCTACTTATGACGCTTGTATGGTAAGGTCCATACTCACTGGGTGTCTGAAGGTAAGCCAAAACCGAACGCTTGGACCAACACATGTGAAAGAGAAGATGACCAGAGCATCCTTACTTGGCTCGTTCACTCTCTCAGCCAGTCTTTCCCTCATCATGAGTGCTTCAGCAGACGCGTTTGCAGCTTGGCAATAACAAAATTTTGACTTATCACGCTTCCATTTACTGGTTTTGACTTCGACAACAGCCCAAGGAAAGCATGTTAGGTCTGCAGCGCCAATCGGTTGTGGTTTTTTAGGGTCCCACTTGGCCAACGCAGATGTCGGTGACGAGATTAGGCTACATCCGGATGCCTTCCGGAGTTCGCTAAGGACAGGAAGCGTGAAGTTTTCGACTTTAGGGTCAAAACGGTGGAATTTTGACATCTTGTGTGAGGGATCGAAAATAGGGAATGAGTAGGTCACGTCCGGCTTCGGTCCAGTGCGCACTCGTATCACGCAATTATTCCTCGGGAAGCGTTCGTTCCAATGAACATCGGCATGCCTATCAAAGTTAGCCTGATTTGTGAGGCGCCACCGTATTGCTTACAGTTCCCATCGATCAAACAAAAAGCTAGAAGAAGTCAATGAAGAGACTTTGAAAGCATTACAAATGTGCATACCTGTGCTCGTCTGGAGTGCCATGTACCTCCATGTATGTTTTGAAGAAGCTCAATCCTAGGAACTCCGCCCATGCGGATTCCTTCTCGTTCCTCCCACGAAGATATATCGCCCGTTCCTTGACTTTCCGACAATTTTCCAGTACTTTTGTCGTCTCTGCTGCTAGGCTGTCTTCTTCGTCAAAGCTCTCCTCGCGAAGATATTGATTCCTGTTGGGTTTCAATCTCCAGAGTGATTGCGATGCGATAGCCCCATCTTGACCTGAACGTTGAAACGTCTCGAGCTCGGCGACAAACTTCTTTCTTGTTTTCCTTGGGACTTTTGTGCGCAAAAATCTCATCTCCCAATGTATGGGACGGAGCCACTTAGGCAAAGAGTTCCTCTTGTGGACATGCTCATAGAAGTAAATGCCCTCATCTTTTAATATATCCCGGGTCAAGTTGGGCTTTTTAGTGCCTTTGGAGGGAGACTGCATGTCTTGATGGCGTTTCGGGGTTAACTGTGTGCGCTGTACGGGAGTAGGTGGTAATGGGTAAAGCTTCACACCACGTTTGCGACAGACGACTGTAGTAAAGCAGAAAGTACGCTGGCTGAGTGTAGTTCTTTACGACTATGTTCTAACAGATCTTTTTATTTTGTATACTGGAAAGCATCAGGAGGCTGGGGCGCAGTACTTCGAGTATGCGAGGCTGAAACAGCTTTGGCGAAGCACCTGCCAGTTCAGCCTCCGCGCTCTCGCCCCCACGCTGCAGGAGTAACAGCACCGCTGTCGACTCGACCTCGTCTTCATTTCACCGATAGATAGCCCGTCTATCGCGTGCTGTTCAAGCTTTAACCGAGATGTTTGAAACATGGAGTAGTGTCAGGGTGAAGTAGAAGGATGGAAGATGAGGTTCCGCGGCGGGCTCTCCTCTCCTGCGGCCCGTGCGCAGGATCATAACGCTAACGTGTTATTGGGAGCTGCTCCGTCGATGCAACACCATTCAGCAACGTTTCCGGAAAGCAGCAACGAGAATAGTATACGAAGGATGCCTTGACACAGGTGATGGCATGGTTTGAGACGAGCGACGACGGATGCTACTTGGCGATGTTTCCGCATCCCACGCCCACGTGGCCATTATCGGATGATGTACTCACTAGAGCAACACATTTAGCGCAAGTGGTAGACAGGGTCGGAGATCAGTTTTCGATCTATCATGCGATAGTGTCACATCAACGTTAGTCAGAAGGGTGGCTATCGTCATTCCAGAAGGAGCGACATTTTGAATCGCATGTCTGCCTACGGCCTATTTACAGAGTGTAGCGGAAAAGAAGGCCAGGTCCATTGGCGACACCCTCCAAGCCCACAGCCTGGTCAGATTTGCGATTCAGCTTCTGCAGCCAGAAGCGTAGTATGAGCGATGCAGTTGCACAGCAAAGGAGCGCTACTGTCAAGACAATGCAGCCCATGCGGTAAAGGCTAAATCGTTGAGTTAGTGATTGTTCATCTGGGATATGGAGAAGACTTACGGTGCACTCCACGCGGGGTACAGGTAAGCAGTAGCGATGTTCGTCGCATTCGACACAGCCGTCGCTAGGGCAAGTGTAACAGCCCTCTTCGCCTTGGGTCGTGCGACTGTCGCCGAGACCCATGGCAAGATGAGCTGGAAAGCAGAGAAAGACCCCATAGCTTGTAGGAACATGGCGAAGTAGCGAGGTCCAGTCTGGTACGTTGACATGGAGATGATCTGGCCAACTGCAGAGATGACACATGCGGCAACGATGTGGAAGCAATGCTCGCCGGAGCGCCCAGAGTGCCACGAATTCGCGACTGAGAAGATGAAGGCCAGGAAGTATGGTGGTGCTGTGAGCAACAGTGTCTCGACGCGGGGAAAGCCGAGTGTCTGGACGATGGATGGGAAGAAATAGGTGAAGCTCATGGATACGACGGCGCATGTCTGGATGAAGACAAGAAGTGGCTAGAGGTGGCATTCGACGTTAGCAACACGTACTGGTTTACGGATTTCGATTCTTGGCACGCAATGATAAGATGAGAGAGATACGTACTACTTTCGGATCAGAGAAAGCCTGCTTCAGTCCAACGAAGACCGATTCATTCACTTCATCTGCCACGCCATCGTTCTCGCGGTCAAGTCGCCATTGCGCCATAGCGGTCTCTTCAGCCGATAGGAATGAGGTATTCGATGGGTAGTTGGGAAGAAGTGCGTATCCAGCGAAAGCCATAACGATCGTCAGAGCGCCCTCAAGTATGAAGATCCAGCGCCAACTCGGGTAGCCACCAAGACCTTCCATGCCGTCGACAATGCCAGCGGCAATCAATCCGCCAAAAGCCGAGGACAGCGTGTATCCAGAGTAGAAAGTGGCGATACGACTTGGTAGCTCTTTCCGCGTGTACCAGCATGAGAGAAAGAAGATACATCCAGGGAAGTACGGCGCTTCAGTTACACCGACTAGGAATCTCAGTGCGACTAGTCCCGCATGGTTTTGTACGAAACCTGTAGCACCAGAAACAATGCCCCAAATGATGACAACTGTTGGTAGATATAGCCTAGGCTTGAAGATGGAGAGGAGCATGTTCGACGGAATCATCATAGAGATGTAACCAGCCCACAGCACCATAACGGCAGTCTGATACTCCACATCGTCGATGCCCAGTGTGGCTTCCAGCCCTCCAAGACGTGCATTGGCAATGGCATTCCGATCAAGGACGTTGAGCAGGAAGAGGACGATCAAGATAGGTAAAGCTCTGAAGTCGATCTTCCGCACGAGCTTCTTCTCGAGAGCGGTGAGTTGCTCAGGTGTGTGGTTGCGCAGGATCTCGGGGACGGAGTTGCGAGACTCGTTCGTAGCTTCGATGTATTCACACGCTACGTCTTTCTCCAACGAGTGCTTTTCGACGTCCATGGTGATGGATTGGACAAGGCTTTGTGGTCGTGACGGTTGAGGGTGAAGCCAGACTGACGCTACCCCACGAACCTGGGGTAAACTGCATCTTATACTCTTACCCCGGATCCATATCGTCACGTCGTCGTCTTACCTGCTGGTGCTGGCTAGCTTAGTGTGGGATGAGATGCGGGGGTTCCCGCATCTAGCTATGTCTCCCGGCCGGGTAAGGTCGTCCATGCAAGTCGCACATGCATAGCAGGTGTCATGGCCAGCCAAGTCTGGTGATCACGGCATTTAGGCCGAGACTTACTGAAATGACGCTTGCATGCTAAAGTATCGGTCTTTGAGCGAGTTGGCAATGATCTGGATGAGAGACGAGGGGAAGACCGGGGATGCGCCGATCACGGTGCTTTATGTATAGCCGAACAGGGTCGTGATGGAACGTGCCGACGGGCAGCATGTGCATTCAGTCACCGGCAGTGCGTAAGGCTGTACTGTTTGCGATATGGGTGTCATCATAGAACAAGATAGTTTGTGTAAGATAATAGTGGCCTAGCCAGTGACATGCGAAAGGAAGACGCCTAGCATGTGTCTTTGCAAACGTAATAATCTCTGCGCGATGACTTGGACGTCATAAGAGAGCGCTGTCAAACATGGTAGCATAGTGGCTGTGTGAATCTTTCAAACGGATCGTGGTCTAGTGTATTATGCTGCGACTTCTACAGTATTGACTTGCACACTCTGAATCTTCTGGCTCGCCTGCCCGGTCCCCTTCACATTTTGTTTTGGTGCAAAAGCCTCCACATAATCCCGAACAATCTGATCAAAACCGGTATCTCTCACGAACCCAAGACCCAAAGCCTTAGTGTTGTCAAACTCAGCAGGCCATGAGTATAGAATCTTCTTGCACGTAGGTTCGTCCTTCATCTCAAGCAGTTCAAGCTTATCGCTACCTCCCACCCTCGCAAGAGAGTCCATCATATCCTGCACCGAGACGCCGATACCAGGGAAGTTGAGGCAGCGATCAAACTTCGCGAGGCGATTGATGTCGAAATCCGTAGCTGCGTAGACGAGGTTTTGGACTAATATCCGGGGAGAGCATAGCCAATGTCGCCATTGCTTGTCCTCTAGTGGGATAACACATCTGATGCCATTCATCGGTTCGCGGATCATACCGCTGATGAATGAGCTCGCTGCGGCTGTGGGTTTCCCTGGGCGTACCGAGACAGTAGGGAAACGAAGCGAGATGCCGTCGATGAAGCCGCGTCGTGTGTACTCAGTGATGAGGTACTCGCACATCATCTTCTCCGCGCCGTAGCTTGTCTCCGGTGTCGGCATCTGAGATTCCGTGACGGGTAATGTGACAGAGTTGTTGTATACTGCTTGGCTGGAAGCATATATTACTCTCGCTCCTGGGCACGTTTTCCGGATAGAATCGAATAGTGCGCGAGTAGCATCGAAGTTTGCTTTCATGCCGAGCTCGAAATCGGCTTCTGCGCCTGAGGACATGATGCCGTGGAAGACATAGACGGCTTCTATATCTTTAGTAACGACAGCATCTGACTCTGTGCACAAATCCGCCTTGATGGCCTGTGCTCGTTTTGAGGATCGCGCATCTGATGGGATGGGTGGTTCGATGATGTCGGTGAGGATGAGAGAATGCGCTGCCTTCTCGTCGTCGAGCAATTTCTTCGCTACGAGTTGGCCGATGAAGCCGGCGGCCCCTGTGATGAGAATGCGCATTTTGCTTTTGATAAAATGGGATAGTGTGAGATGACATGCGGCTCTGCCAAACAAACTTTATTCATATACGAATCGCGCTCTGCAACTATCGGAGCGGTGCTTCGGCCGACTGTATGCCCTTGTGATGCAGGCATTTTGCCCGCGACACCTTCTCCTCTCGGTTCATTGTATCCGTAATGATTAGATGCTCGATAGTGTTGGTGGTGTCGGCCGCGGTTGCGGTTGCCAGAGGCTCGTCGCTGCCTGCGAGCCATCGGCGTTTCGCCGGGCCCACTTCTCCGCATCAACGTGAACTGGTCGGCAGATCGACTAGCGAGGTGGCTTCCGCGCCAATTGACACGAATAATACATACCTTCCGAAGCTACTTGCATGATTAGTACGAGCAAATTGTCGCGAACTATTGTCGCACTGCTGACAACATGGAGGACAAACCCGTCTCTGTAGAAGACATCAAGAAGCATGCTAGTGAACAAGACTGCTGGATAGTAGTAGACGATGTCGTGTGGGATATCACAGAGTTCATACCCAGCCATCCTGGTGGCAATGAGAGTGAGTGCATTCAATACCTGCCATTGAAGTTCAAGGTCATGCTGTGTTTGAAGGAATGCAAAAGAACTGGACTTCCAATTCTGGACAGCATCTTTCTGGGAAAACCACCGCTGACAACAACCCAGTAATAACGAAACACGCCGGGCTCGACGCCTCCCTAGCCTACAACTCTGTCCACTCACCCACTTTGATATCCAAGACTCTCGCTCCAGGCAAACGCATCGGCAAAGTCTCGTCCTCAACACCCTCCTACGACCTCCTAAAACCACCTCCAACAGAATCCGCCCAACCCGCCTTATCAATTGCCTCAAAGCCGCCGCTCAGTAGTTTGATCAACAGCTACGACTTCGAAGCCGTCGCCGAGAAAGTTCTCGGAAAGAAAGCATGGGCCTTTTACTCCAGCGGCGCCACGAATCTGGTGACGCGGGATGCGAACAAGAGCATGTTTGATCGGATATGGTTTCGACCGCGGTTATTGAGAAATATCCGGCATGTGGATACCCGGACGAAGATGTTGGGACACAATGTTGAATTGCCGTTTTTTGTTAGTCCGGCTGCGATGGCGCGGTTAGCGCATCCGGAGGGGGAGAGAGCGTTGGCGAGGGGGTGTGAGGGGAGGGGTGTTGCGCAGTGTGTATGTTGATATCTCCGTTTGCTGTGCGAGCTGGAAGACGGGAAGGTGGGAAAGATGATGTGCTAATGCGGACTGCCAGATCTCAACGAATGCGTCGTTTACCATGCAAGAGATTACGGGGAGCGTGAAGAAAGATTCCATACCCTTCTTCTTCCAACTCTACGTCAACAAAGACCGAAAAGCATCTGAAGTCCTTCTCAAAGACGCGGAGAAGAATGGGATCAAGGGCGTGTGGTTTACCATTGACGGGCCTGTGCAGGGGAAACGAGGCAAGTCTCACTCTACCTAACACCCGTCTTTTCCCTCTTTGCATCTTTGCGTATGTGCACGACTCAATCTAATCCCGTATAACAGAAGGCGACGAGCGAGTAAAAGTCGAATCCGCAACCTTCGCCAAAGCCGCCATCAGCGGTGCGGCCGCCACAAACGACAAAAAAGGCGGTGGCCTCGGTCGCACCATGGGCGGCTACATAGACGACACGTTTAACTGGGATGACATCGCTTGGCTGCGCAAAGCAACTAAACTGCCTATTGTAGCGAAAGGGGTGCAGACAGTTGAAGACGCGGTACTAGCTATGAAATACGGGTTGGATGGTATAGTGATAACGAACCATGGAGGGAGAAACCTGGATACGTATGTCCACCCAGCCTTCCCCAACCACATACATAAACGAGAAGAGTGGTTGGCTAATAGAAAACAACAGTTCCCCACCATCCCTCCTTACACTTCTCGAAATCCGACGCCACGCCCCCGAAGTCTTTTCCAGCCTAGAAGTCTACCTCGACTGCGGTATCCGGCGCGGAACCGACATAGTAAAAGCACTGTGTCTAGGCGCTAAAGCTGTTGGAATGGGTCGGCCGTTTTTGTATTCGCTGACGTATGGACAAGAAGGTGTGGAACACTTTATTGACATCATGAAAGATGAGTTGGAGACGACGATGAGGTTGTTGGGTATAACGTCGTTGGAGCAGTGCCATCCGCGGTATCTAAATATAGGGGATGTGGAGCATTTGATTCCGAGAGATTTGGAAGGTGGGTTGCCGGAGATTCCAGGGAAGAGTATGAAGGCGAGATTGTAAAACTTGTTTGTGTTGGAGAACGGAGTGTTAATTCTAACCCTGGCTTATTCGAAGTCGCCCGACTCGAGTGCCCTTTTGTCAGCTCTCTCCTCTTGCATCTTCCTCTCCCTCCTGAACTTCTGATCCAACCCCGCAGCCTTCAGCACCGCAAACCTCACGTGATCAACACCCAACCTCTTCCCTTCTACCAGCGTCTCTGCACTCACTCCCAGAATCTCTCCTAGCGCCCCACCGCCGACCGGGGGCTGGATATCATACTTCAACTTCTCCATCGCCTTTCTGAGTTCCTCAGGGCTACCTTTCGGGGACAAGCGACGCAGCACCTTTCCATCGTGGCGTTTGATCTCCTTGGCTGCGGGAATGTATAGTTTGTCTAGCTTGGAAAGAATGACCTGGTGACTCACACCGGCCAAACGCAGCGAGGCGAGCAGAGAACGGTCTTTATCTTTAATACCGTGTTCGGCGTCAATCAAAAGGAAGACGCGGCGGAGTTGCTTGCGGTTGGTGATGTACTTCATGATTTCTGTACCCCATGACGCGAGTGAACCTTCGCCATAACCGGGCATGTCGACGATAGTCAAACCGCCGAGACCGACGATCTTTTCGCGATCTTGGCCTTGTTTCTTGATGGTTACGCCGTTGCCGGCGCCCAGACCGTAGAGGTTCATTGTTTTGGTGAAGCCGGGCGTGGAGGAGGTACGCGCTAAAAGTGCTTTGATATCGGCGTTTACGACGGCGTTGAGCAACGAGCTCTTGCCAACGTTGGAACGACCGACAAAAGCTACTTCCGGCACGTCGGACTCGGGGAAAAGACGGAATTGAGCTATGCTCCGTAGTAACTTCGCATTCCGACCGTGGGTAGTGAAGAAGTGGTTTGCAGTCGTTTTCTGTGCGACGGTAGGAGGAAAGGTATCCCAGTACCAATTGAAGTCTTGCAATTTGTTGAGATTGAGCGAGAGCGAACTGATTGGTGTCTCGGGCGCTGTATTTGGTATCGTCTCGGATTTTGGTCTTCTGCCCAAGGGCGCTGATGGCGGAGAGGGTACTAGTTCGTCTTGGAACGATTTCTTACGACCCGCGGGGAAATTTGTCTCCCATTTGCGAATGACAACACTCTTTGGCTTTTTGATAAGAGGTTTGTGAGGCGCGTTGAGATGTGCTAATTCCATTTCTTTCCCTTCTTCTTTTAATTGCTCCATCTCCAATTCTCTCTTGTGTCTTCGGCTCTCTCGCATTGCCCGCATTTGTGCGGTGGTCATGGGTGCATCTCTGTTTTGTTGCCGTCTCTCGCGCATCGTGAGAGGTCGTGGTTCATTCGCTACTCGTTCAAGATCCTCCGCAGATGGTTTTTGCTCGTCCGTCAATTCTAAGCGCAGATTGTTTTCCGTCTTGCTCATATGCAGTATACTGCGTGTTGGCGCAGTCGGCCTGAACTTCGCTATCGCATCGCCATTCCAGTGCTTCCGTATCCGTAACCTCGCGTTGGGCGCATCATCTTGAGATGTATCGGTGGTCTGTAGGCGTACTTGCGATCGCGTAACGGTTGTAGACTGCGGGCGCGACAAGCGGTGTATGCAGCTGCGGCATACGTATCGCGAACTTGGCGGTAAGTTGTTCATTGCGTTCGTACAAGAAGACGGAGGGGTACCTAGGTAGTTGTGGTGCATGTGAAGTTCACGACTGGTCCAAGCTCTGCCGCATCTTTTCGCCGCAGCACTTCCGTGTGGTGAACTTCTCCAACACCACCAATAAACTACCACATTTCGAGTACCACGGTCCCCAGGGCTCCTTCCGATATCCAATCTCCCGAACCAATCCGCTCACTTCCACCACCCACAATGGCACAACCCGCCACCCCCCAAATCCTCTCCATCTACCGACGCCTCCTCCGCGAACTCCCCTCCACACCCCAATTAACCCGCACCCAACACCAAAAGCTCTCCGCACCTTCAAAACTGCAACAGCGCATCCGCTCGACGCTCTCGCAATCGAACCCCAATGCCAACGCGCAAAGTCAAATACAACAGGCGGAGCAATTCATACAATATGTGCAGGCGCAACGGATGCATTCGACGCTGCTGGAGCGGTATAATCCGGGTATGGGTATGACGGAGGAGGAGAGGGTTAGGCTGAGCGCGAGGAGGGTGGGCATGAATCTGCCGGTGGAGTTTGAGGAGGAGGGTGGGGAGAAGGCTTGAGGATGGGGGACGGCGATTGGTAGGAGTGAGATGGAAGTGGCCAGGTGCGATTTCAGACATTGGAGGGCATGATGGTTGGAAGGATGACTCGCTGCCGATGCCTGAGAAGTGATGAGGGATGCAATATGGAATCACTAGCATCGCGACACAAAACCGGAGTCTTCTCGGATGGAATGAAGAACACTGAGAGGGCCTGGTACATGGAAATGGAACTAGAAATATGCATATGCAATGTACGATTAGAACTGTACAAATCTATAAACTCAAACTTTCAACACAGTAATCCGACCCTCAGTCGACCAAAGTCTCGTACTAGTGTCGCCAATTAAGGGTATGCTGCTTTTGGTATACATAACTCCGTGTTCGCCATACTCTTACACGCCAAGGCGCATATCCTCTTTCTACTCGTGAAAATGCTTTGCGAATCGTCTCCCATCTATATCCGGTTATGACGCTCAGTCCTCAAACTTGAAGCCCTTGCCGCCAGAGGTGTCAATCATGCCACCCCTGTACGAGCCCCTCTTTCCCTTGTTCTTCTCCTTGGTGAAGCCCTTGCCCTTTGTGACGATCAACTTGGCGTGCGCGCGGTCGGCGTAGTCGTAGGAAACGTAGGCGTTGCTTGCGAGGTTGGGGTCGACTACGACGTCGGGCTTGATGCGCTGGAATCGGTTCTCGACGTGGCTTCGCTTTGACTTGGGAGCGTCTTGTGAAGGAGAGCCGGCCTTGCGCTTGTTGTTCTTTGGCTCGGGGGATGTTGCTGGCAGAGTCTGAGACGAGTCGCTGCCAGAGGCCTTGCGCTCGAGCGCGGCGGGTTTCTTCTCATCATCGCTGTCGGAGTCGGAGTCGGAGGAGCTGTCCGAAGAGCTGTCTGAAGAGCTGGAATCGCTTGAGGACGAGGGTGTGGCAGCCTTCTTTCCGCTCTTCTTGGCTTTCTTCGTCTTCGCTGGCTCTTCGTCAGAGTCGCTGTCGGAGGAGCTAGAGTCGCTGGAGTCGCTAGAATCTGAAGAGTCCGAGTCGCTTGAAGCAGACGATGATGAGACTGAAGCGGCCTTCTTGCTCTTCTTTGCCTTCTTGTCCTCCTTCTCGGCTTCTGAGTCGGAGCTGCTGTCGCTCGAGGAGTCGCTGTCTGAGTCGCTGGACGAAGAGTCGCTGGAGGCATCGGACGAGTCGGAGTCAGGAAGCGGGACGTTGGCGGGCTCTTCTTCAGAGCTGCTATCGGAGTCGCTCGAGTCGCTGGAGGAGGAAGCAGAGGATGAAGACACGGATTTGGCCTTCTTCGCTTTGGGTTTCGCCGGCGCGCTTTCCTTCTCAGATTCGGAATCGGAATCTGAGCTGGAGCTGGAAGAGTCGGAGCTAGAGTCGGAGGAACTCGATGAGCTGGAAGCATCGTCCTTCGCAGCTGCCTTCTTTCCAGCAGTCTTCTTGGCCTTCTTTGGCTTTGCCTCGGCCTCAGACTCGCTGCTTGAGTCGCTGCTGGACGCGCTTTCCTCATCGTCGCTAGCCTCAGAATCGTTGTCGCTCATGGGCGACGCACACCATCGGTCAAACTCCTCGTCAATCTTGGTGACAGCATCCTTCTCGCCCTTCTTCTTGAGGAACTTCTTCACCAGCTCAAGCTGGGGAATTTCTGTCGATGCAGCCTTCTGCTTCTTGTCGCCGCTAGACTTCTTAGAAGCCTTCCCGGTAGCCATTGCGCGGTACGTGTCGTGTTTCGTGGACTGCGGCGGTGGAATGGTGGTGCTGGCGTGAAAGGTAGCAGACGTCGCGCAAGAAAAAAAGTACGGTAGGCGGAATGGTTCAGCGCCCCGGCTGCGCTAGGCCCCAAACGTGATCCCTGTCCCGCGCGCCTGCCGTCTCATATGGAGTACACGACGCCAGACGTCCCTCTCCGCACACCACCCCATTGCCTCTTTCACTCGCCGCCCACATTCTTCCTTCGAACGGCGCACTTGGCAGCAGTTGTTCCGGGACTACCGCATTGAGCACCCCGATTGCTCCTCACCGCCGCTCC